TTCTTGAGATACTCGTACTCGTTCATAGTTGCCTTTCGCCGTGCTTATTTGCATTTCAGTGCAAGTTTATTGAAAAAAAAAAATCTTTTTGCTGTAAAATTAAGAATTTCTATTTTTCTCTGATTTTACAGAATTACAGAATTTCGCAACGCATTCCGTTGCCTGCAATTTTTATATATAATTTTTCTGCTTTTAATAATAAAAAACTTAAATTGAACTCAATTAAAGCGCTAACACTGAAATACAGTCTCTGAAACGGAATTTGTTAGGCTTTTTGATTAAATAATTTAAGTGAATATGAAAATTTATGAGATTTCAGCACTAAAAATTGAACAAAACATCTTTCAGTAAAAGTGGGTTAAAGGGCAACATTTTCATTAAGTGAATTTGTTTCACATTGTGTAGAGGAAGAAATTAAAATTATATTTTATTGCTATTTTTATGTGTGGAATATCATCATCTGCGATGATGTTTTAGCTTTACTCTTCCCGGTGATTTTCCCAAATGGATTACTTAACTGTGAATATAGTAATTTATGTTAGTTCCGATAATATCGTGTCTTGCATAGATAATGATAGCACTTAAAATTATAAATTTAATTATTCACTAAAGACCATTTTACATTTACTACTTCTTCACTTCAAGTCACAAGTTTAAAGGAAGAGATGAAATTTGCAACACTCTACCAATATGTGTACTATTAAATATTGATTTTATACTTGCTACTTGTATAAAAAAAATATACCTTTGAACTGTGTTTTCTAAAATAAAATAAAAAGAAATATAATAGAACGTAAACATCTGGGTTACGACTGGAGTGGAGCTCTATGATCATAAATAATCTTTTGTGCCATAGTAAATAGGATTACTAAAATTGTTTAAGTAGCGGCTGAGCTTTCTCTTCTGTTCAAGTCTTGTTGTTACCATACATATACCGGGAGTGTGAAATCTAAGTATTAAAAACAACTTCCGCAGTTAACAAAAGATATTTTTGTAAAGTCTATATTTGAAGTATCCGCCAGGCTTATTTATTCGTGCACTTTCATAGAGGCTTAACAGTATCAATACCTACATTGGTGATTTGAGGATCAATAAAGGTGTAATTCATAAAAACATCAGTTTGGTTTAATGTAGTGCAGTATTCAAAGTAGCTAAGATTTGTTTCTTTTATTTTAGAACGAGTATGTTGCCTAATAACTAAGACTTAAATATATCAGTAATTACTAGAGAGGTTTTTACAGCAAAGCTCGCTTAAACATAAGTAATAACCCATTGTAATATAGATAGAAATCCGCAGCATTAAGTGTACGTATAGTTTTCCTTTAAAAATTTATATTTTTGCTATTTATATGGAAGGGAATTGACCTAACAAACCTATAAACTAGCCTAGGTATATCCCTCATTTTTAAGTATGTCAGTTTTGACAGGTCAGTTAGACAAGAAACAGAAAAGGTTTTGGATCTCTTGCCTAATGATGTGCCCTGACACATAAGGTGGAGTCCAATATTCATGTCATCTGCAGTGCCAGAAACCTGACAGAAGTTTTTACAGGGTACACTAAGCGTTTTTACATACCTTTCTAATATGCAGTGACCTCTCCTTTTTAATACCGTAGTACAGATTTGGTTCCATTGTAGTTGGAGCAGCTGACTGTTAGGGATTTTGTCTAATTTGAACTAGATGAGATTTGAACTATGATCTATCAAGAATCTTCAACTACTCAAGCTTTTCAAAGCTCTGTTAATATATAGGAACTTTTATATAAGCATAATAGTCGATTGTGAAGCAAATAAAATGGATTAGTAAAAAAGGTCAATTTGTGTTATCTAGGGCGTTATTTCTTTAAAGATTAGTTTTGATAAAATTAAGTGTTACTTACATTAAACTAACTTGATGTTTTGCATTCGATATGCTTGACATTTTATACTTATACTAATATTTTCCCTAAACTGAATTCTCTATATTAAGAGATTAATGGTTTAAAATCTAACAATAAAATTTCGCTTGCAATATAAACAGATTTCTTCCTAAAGCATTTATGGTATGATATTCTATTATTTAAAGATTATAGGTATTAGTTAAGTTGAGACGATGGTTAAATGAAATGATGGTTTATCAATATATTATTTAGAAATAATTAATTCTTTCCTACTATATTTTATACTACCAGTGATGTATACAATACATACTATTATCATAACAGAAACATAATAAATTTATACCTAAAACGTATGTACATATCATAAAGTCTTCCATAAATATCCGATAAAATAAACATAATAAAATATGATAGCTTGCTGACACGGAATGTAACACATATCTTGACACGTTTAAATAATAAATGTCAATGGAAATTAGCGATTTAAAGTGCAACTTGTATCCCAGATACATAAATGAATAAATGTGGGTTAATCTTTCCATTTCATTTTTTATATGCATGTTTTTTTTTTTGAACCGAGAGCTTGGGACCCCTAATAAACAATTGAGCATCACGCGACACACTGCACTCGTTGAGCATGCAGAACCGATACCGGAGCAGAAGCGCACCGCCTGCTTCAGATTCATTGAAGCATTTTTCAATGTGAAACGCGTTCCTTCTTGCTGCTCCATTGGCTTTGTAATGCTTTCATGTTGCTGGCTGCTGGCTGCTGGCTTGTTGTAGTGGAGTATGAATGGGAACACCCACGTTTAAAGAGTCTTGTGAGGGCTTTGTTGTTACGTACGAGAATTTATGTTATTAAAGCAGTTTTAAATTTATTTAAATTTCTTTCAGAGTTAAATCTCTGATCTACGTTAGATACGTTTGATGTTTATATTAAAAGAGGATTTCTGTTTTAATAAACATTAAACTTTAAAGTTTACGATAATAATTTTTTTTATTTATTTTCTTCATTTAATATATGTCAGCGGGTATCAATTACAGTAACTTATGCAAATTGAAAAAAAATAAAATTAAATTATACTTTATTCTTTTTCAAGTACCTATCATTCTTCATAAATATTCAGCCTTTATATTCTATCTACCCGTATGCATCGTCATGTGGCACTTCCAGTTGCTTTGTACTTTCAATTGTTTTGATTTTGCTTTCGGTTTTAATAAAAATGTCAACAATGAAAAAATCGATTCCATTCTTCCCGCTTTTTGTGTTGAGAGTTTTGACAAATCCTTTTGTTATCGATAGGAAGCAGGGTGCTTTATTTCGTCTGACACCAGATGACATTTTAACATTAACTGTCATTTGATTATAGTTAAGGAGCACATATACGTTCCATTATTGTCGATTTTGCAACCTTAAAGGGGATGAATGAGAACGTGAAGAGAATGTAAGTATTAAGAGAAATTTTTCAGAATATTAGTACAGAGTAAATATATGAAATGTTTGCAGAAAGTTCAGTACAGTATATAAAAATTGAAGATTAAAAATGTATCTAAATAGAAGAGGGCGATAATAGTTATAATGACGGGTATTAAAAACCTGACTAAAAACATGCACTGCTATCCCCAGAAGTACCGACTATTATTCCATTTATAATGCATGATATCCTACAGTTCTTAAAGAAATCGTCTTAACTCACTTTTCTTGAGACTGCAACGAAAGTATTGAGTAGACGTGTGGCGGTAGGAGAAAGACTTGACCGCCTTTGAAGTCCCTTTTCATGCTATCGGTTTTTGATATAAACAATATTTGTCTTTAGATATTTTAATTTTTAAAAACCAAACTTATGCATTAGTTGCTGCAGTATTTTGCATTGATTTTATTGTTAAATTAAACAAAAAAATACTGAATTTTCCATATATTCCTAACGTATTTCGAAACTACAACTCTTTACCCAATAACACCATAATTTCTTCAACGTCATTATTTTAATCGAAGTCTTTGTCTCAGTAACTTTGTTAATTTTCTGAGACTTCGTACTGCTTAAATTCAATTAAATTCCTTATCCCTTATATTGACTCATATCACTATATTCTGTCCTAGTTTTATCGTTCCCAAATATGGTAAGATAGATTTTCCCTTAATTGAAGGGTAGAAAATGTCATGGAAGGTACATTATCGGAGACTTACTACGGCTTAAATTCCGCTTTATCTTCCAGTATATCACTCACATCAATTTGTATCACTACATCACGTTCTAGGTTTAACGTTTCCAAGAATGGTAAAGCCAACAGGTTTCCCATCAATTAATGGACTATCTAGATTACAACATTAGCAATAAATAGAAAATACACGGGAAGGCCCGTGTCAGAAACACAGTAAATTTTTTAAGTCTGTTACTCGCATTACTTTATTTATCACCTAGACTTTAACAACAACAATAAGCAGAAACTGCCAAATAAGGTTTTTGAAAGGCTTCATCCAAAAACACTAGTAGTTCCTCTTATGTATAGGGCAATTATGTATCTAAGGCAACTTCTGAAGTAATATTTCATCTACATTATCTTTTGAAGAATATTGCATTGTTTATCATTTATTTCAAAATTTGTGTTATTAAGTTATCACATAATCATAGAAGTACTTACAGTTAATGTCACAGTAACACTATTATACAGTATTATTTTACCCTATTTGTGCTCACAGAGTATTTGGGTTAAATTTAAGGGAGATTTTTCCATAATCTTCTCTATGAAGCGCGTGCGCACTAAAACTGGAATGATAACAAACATTTCAGAACTACTGAAATATCAACAAAATATATACCATTACCATTGAGCGAGGAAAAGTGATTATTAATAGTTCATAATTAAGTATAAAGAAATAAAAAAATCCAACTAATAAAGCAATAATTTAACAACTATATAAATAATATAATAATAACAGTTTTTTACTGCCTAAATAAAAGTATTCCAATTGCCTGTAACTACTTTGTCCTTATGGTCCGTGAAAAATAGTTCGGATTGGAAAACCGCAGTGTTCACAGAAAAAATGTTCAATTCTTTTATAAACATTTTACCTTTATACTGATAATAAGTGGAAATTAAGAAAATATTGTAGTTTTTAAGTAATTTTTATAAAAGTTTTTTAAATAAAAAAAATCTAAACATTTCCGAGCTACGCACATAATACAACCTCAAATCACTCCAAAAAAAGGATAACACCCAACAAAATTATTTGAAAAAACAAAACTACGCACATAATCGAGAAGTAAAATGTGTAAGTGTAGAAATTAAATATCCTTTAGGATTCGTTTTTCATATCCTTTATAAAGTCGAGAACAAAGCTATCAAAACATCTAAACCGAGTTGTGTAACTTCCAAGCATCCCTTTGCACTTTCTAGTACCTCTAAATGGTGTTCCACGCTTAAGTGAAAATATTTAGTACGACAATGCACTTTAAAGGACTTGGGAGCACATATACTTGGGAGTGCATATCCTGAATGCCTTCGCTGCAATATTTGTTTGTTTTAAATTGAAAGGCCGTGCTTGAATTTAGTACGAAAATTTCTTATTTACGCCCAGTGAAATAATGCTGCTTATGTATGCAACACCGCAGGGGTGTGGCATTAATACATGTGACCCTTAATGAGCTGTGTTCGTTCAAGTGTTATAAAAGTATTTTTGTTTTGTTTCATTGTTTGCTGTAGGGATAATATCAAAGTACTAATTCGTCCTTTGCATCGTTAACACGCGCACATTAACGTATATTGGCATTCGTATTTATCCCCTTTGAAAGAATTTAATTGAGGATAACATAAGACCACTTCAAGCTCGCATAAACAAAATATCTAAGAATTGTTGCTTCAATCCTTTCTCTACTAAGTCTACTAAGTCAACATTATTTTAACTACCTAATATATAATGTAAGTCTCGCATCCTATTTTAAAGAACTACTATTCAGCTACATTTTGAAGACTGTAGTGATTATCTTTCATACTAAGTATAGTATTTAGGACTATTTTTTATTCTAGTTTGGTAATCCTGGGACCTATATTCCCCGTTTAATTAAATTATAAGACGATGAAACCCATATAATCAGCGTAAATAACAGAAGCGGATAATCCTCTAGAGACTATAGCTATTTAACATATACTGTATGTTACTTAGCGAAAGGTCGAGCAAAAGTCATAAACTGTTTTAAAAATCACAAAATCTAATCCTTATATAAAATAAGATATATAACTTATTCTATGTCGATATCTTTTTGATAATGCTAGTCGTGCTTATGAGTCTGTCTAAAACCTTAATTTTCTAATCCATGAGAAATCCATCTAAATATAAGAGAACTCTCCAGACAAATAATAATTTTACTGTCATTATTTTTACTGTTTAAGTTATGGTCAACGTAGGTATTGAATTAATCTTTATAAAGATCTTTAATTCTTCTAGATTGTACAATTAATATAATTTCTTAGATTATACAAATATATAAAGAACCTGTGCTACACAAAACATGAGAATCCTGAATATTTGTAAGGAAAAAAACATTTTTTTCTTTTAGGCTTGAATATTTAGAGTCAATATGATTGACGACATAAAACAAAAATATCTATAATATTTTAATCTATAATAACATTAGATCTGATGTATTAATTTATTATTTTCGTTTCTTATTTTCAGCTAAAACACCGTCTTTCGATAAAGATCGTGATTACATTGGTTTTGCAACACTTCCCGAACAAGTACATCGAAAATCTGTAAAACGTGGATTTGAATTTACTTTAATGGTTGTTGGTGAATCAGGTCTAGGCAAGTCTACGCTTATCAATAGTTTATTCTTAGGAGATCTGTATAAAAATCGTATTATACCAAATGTCGAAGACAGAATTGAAAAGACCACCAGAATTGAAAAGAAGACCATGGATATTGAAGAGAAAGGTGTGCGTTTGAGATTGACAGTAGTGGACACTCCTGGATTTGGTGATAGCATTAATTGCGAGGATAGCTGGCGTGTATGCACAGCATATATTGATGAACAGGTAATAAATATAAGAAATAGAATATAAAATGACTCCCCGTATGAAATTGTTTATCACTAATAAATTGTTTTAATCCATAACAGTTTCGTCAATATTTCACTGATGAAAGTGGCTTAAATCGTCGCAATATACAGGACAATCGAGTACATTGTTGTTTATACTTTGTCCCACCTTGGGGTCACAGGTAAATAGTAATAGTGATTAAATTTTATAACTATAATTTATTAAAAAATATTTATTTTTATAGTTTACGACAAATGGATCTGGATCTGATAAGGCGTTTACATCGCAAAGTCAACATTGTTTTGGTAATCGCTAAAGCCGATTGTTTGACTAAAGCAGAAGTGCGCAAATTGAAAGAAAATATTTTACAAGATCTTGAAGATAATAAAATACAACTTTATCAATTTCCTGAATGCGATTCAGATGAAGATGATGACTTTAAGCAACAAGATCGTGAACTGAAAGCCTCAATACCATTTGCTGTGGTAGGCAGTAACACCATTTTGGAAGTGGCTGGGAAAAAAGTACGTGGTCGACAATATCCATGGGGTGTCGTCGATGTTGAGGATCCTGAGCACAGTGATTTCATAAAGTTGCGTACTTTTCTCATTTCCACACATATGCAAGATCTGAAAGATACAACTCAGGATGTGCATTATGAAAACTTTCGTGCCCAGTGTATTTCGCAAATATCGCAACATGCGTTGCGTGAGCGCGGGAAATTGAAGCGTGATTCTATTAGTTCCACGAATGGCTTCGATGCCGCTATTTCAGAAACAGATCGTCTGCTATTACAGAAAGACGAGGAAATACGACGCATGCAAGACATGCTCACACAAATGCAAGAGAAACTCAAACAAACACATCTCATGGAAATGAAGAAGAATGACAGTGTTATAGATGTTTAATTTTGCGGATTAACGGATTAACGGAAATACGAACGTGCTGTCTGTTAAGCTAGAACACACAAAGTTTATTAAATTTTATAAATTATATATTTCCCCAATTGTTGCACATTTATATTATGTGTAGTATATTATGTACGATACATTAAGTTTTGCTACTCTTTGTGCCCGGCTACGTCATTTTAAGTCGAATTTAAACCTCTTTTCTATTTTATATGATATTTCGAAAATGCATATAAAAATTAAACAACGATTAGGCTCAATGCAAAAGACCAATAATATAGGTAGCTTCTTCTTTACATACATATATACTTATCTATAAAGTTATATATTTTTTTCTAAAAGAAAATTTTTTAGATACTCGGATACAGTCAATAATTATTGTTTAAAACGTCATGGAACCCTATAGGGTAGATAGGTCTTTCTGGTTTGATCTAAAAAAGGTCGCTGAGAATCGAAAAAACTATAGTCGATCTTCAGTGATCGCAGATGGTGAAAGTATACAAGTATCAAAAAAAATTTTTAATTATTTTTCAGCATTTTAAATTTGGCACATAGAAATAACTAATTTAATAAAATTCAGTACTGCCGACGGACGCGTTTTCCGCAACTCTTTGGACAGAATATGTATCTCAATATAGTTAATTCCACATTTTTCCAACAAAATATTTTTAATTATTAATTATCTATAACAAAATTCAGTGAACTTAAATATACAAACAAATTTATTTAAGGCGTTTACATATATTGAAACGAATTACGCACGAAATTAACAAATAATATATATTAAAAATTAATTAAAACAATTATAAATACCAAAGTAAATTAGTTATAAACTATTTTTTAATTAATTAAAATTAAAAACTAAACCCTTAAATAAAACCTTTGAACTTTAACATTTAAAATAATTCAATTTTATATAAAATGTTTGATAACCTAAATAGTTTTATATTATTTTTTTTTATTATGAATTCAATTGTTATTTGCATTTAATCGATATAATTATTATTGTTTGTTTTTGTTTTTTAATATAAAACACTATTTTTTTTTAAGAATTAAACTCCATTTTATTACTGTGTGAAGTGAATTGATAAGCTAAGATTGAAGTTTTTATAAGAATAAGTTAAATTTAATTTGAAACTTAAATATGTTCCATTAAATTTATTATTTATTGTGTTAAGCAAACATTAATAATATTAATATTAATTTGTTATTTATATACATTTTGTATTTTGTATTGAATTACTACCGTACATTTGAAACTATATATTCTGGTGTAATATTTGAATATTTATTTAGTGACTTAGAACTTTAAAGATAAAAGCTCATAATAAATTATTAATTGATTAGAAATGAGTAAAATTATTTTTTTATTTATTATTAAATTTTTCATTAGCAATTAACAAAATCTTAGAGTAATTCTATAAAAGTAAAGCAGAAATAAGTTATTGTCATATAATTACTCGTAACCTCTCTTAAATGTTAATACGTTTGGTATTATTATGTGGCCTCAGTATATCTATATACTATATATATCTATATATATAACAAAAAAAAACATTAAAGAAAGATATTGAAAATTTATATCTTGCAGTCATTAATTAGAACAGAACAGAAGCGGCCGTATCTACGTTCTGAAGGCATTCGTCAGATGATTAAGTGCGATTCAGTTCTACCAACTGGGTTACAACAACATAAATCTACATATTATCTAAATCAAAAACTTTTTGATTTTATGTGACAAATTAACTAATGGTAATTAGTCTTAAAATAGTTTAAATTTAAGATAAATCAGATCAGCATAATGAAAATCTCTGCAATTCACATTGATCATCCAACTAATTCTTATAGACATAATAATAGAATAAATAGAATTAACAAACAAATATATAAAGTTTATATATATATAGATATTCCGCAAATAGCACAATTCGCCGCTTTGTCACGTTGTGGTGTGAGTCTCCAATTTTTCACATAAACCGATTTTTGAATCCTTAATTAAAAAAGAATACAAGATATCAGGATTGTTGAAAGGTCTACTAATACAACTTCTTTTTTTAACTCAATGGATTAAGTTGTTGCAATCCTCAAAATATCCTCAAAAAATGTATATGGTTTTATACAATTCATACAAAGCATTTGGAGATTATTGACAATATTATATTTTATTAAAATATATTAAAAAGTTGTACTAGAATGCAATTTTAGTGATATGCTTAAATGCTTACTAAGGAACTAACACATCGTTAATATTTTATTAAACACATCACTAGGCTACCAAGTAATGTACGATGAAGATTAGGCAGATTTTATGAAATAACTTCCGAATAAACATTTGGAAAAATAAAATATGCAAATAGAACCTGAAAAATGAGAGAAGGAGAAAAACAAAGAAGTAACTCCAAGAGTTATAAAACTGGCCGATCTGTACTATAGAAATTTGTTGAATGAATTGAGTTCGACATGGATAGGGAGAGAAGAATAAATAAGAAATAACATCATCGTTTGTATTAGTCTATATATCTTAATTTTTAATGAAATATAAAATAATTAAGACGAGAATAATATTAAGCATAAACTTGATAAACATTTTTAATATTAAAAAAACTGGAAAATTTTTACTTAAAGATATAAGAGATCCGAAATATTTAAATTCAATATTTAATATATTTTTCAATAATACAATAAAGTAATAAAAGAAATTAGTTACTTTAATTTAAATAATATAGAATCTTACCATATATTATACTCCAAATATGGGTTGAGTTTTCAGTTTCCGTTTGAACTGCACAACAATAGTAATTGTGATAATCCTATTTAAAAATGTCACTTAATTACTAATTTCTTTAATGAATGTGAATTTTTTTATATATATTATATACATGTATATACATTCTCTTAATAATAACTACCATTCTATGCCATTCTTTCAAGAATAAAAGCTTTATCTTTTTTCTTTATTATAACAAATAGGTTTTTTATCATATCAATATAGTTTTTTGTAAAATTCGAGTCAATATACATATACAAAAAGTATGTTATAAATATTCTGTGATTATATACAATAACTATTAACAAAAAAATAAATAAAATATGCATAATATATTAAAAGAAGTATGTATATGAAGTATAGTATGTATTTTTAGAACTAAAACTTTTTTAAATAATTGTCGCATGTGTGGCAACACCAGCAATGAACGAAACAGCTGTTTTATGCAAAGCAAGAGATAAAACCAAAAATTTACTCTTAATTAGTTGATTACTACACAAAATCAGTTTGAAAAAAGGTTAATGTGACCAAAAGAATTTTTTAAAAATGTGATAATAGAATTTGTTAATTATTATAAATCGGCAAAAGCGTTAAATTGCCGAAGTTAAAGAAACAAGAAAGTGATTTATATTTGTTAAATACAAATAATTTTTTAAGTAAGTATAGACGAATCAGCAATTATATCAACAGATGACTTTGTAAATTATTGAGTTGGATAGTTTATGATAATAATGAATAATACTAATATTCATTTTTGAAATTAAAGTAAATGTTTTATGTATCCTCGTACACATTTAAAATTGTAAAAATACTTAAAATTGTATGCAAAAGTGAACAACACACAATATGCTTACATACGTTTATTTATCAGCTGATCGCGCATGTGCTGCCAACATTTTACACACCGTCCGAAGTCCAATTTGTTAATATTTACATAAAATCTTAGTTGCTTAAGAAAAATTATATATCATATAGGCGACACACATTACTAGCTTTGCATATTGTATAAAAATTTTTGTATTATTGCCTATAAAAACGAGATAAGATAAAATTTTTTTTTCTCAAAAACTAAAATCTTGGTTTATGAAGATTCTTCTAAATATCACATATACAAATAGTAATCTAAAAATGCTTCATTTTCTTTAGAAATATAAAAGTAGACTCAAAACAGATCAAGATCTTTAACGGTTTTACAAAATTTTTTTTATAAGTGTTTACACTATTGCATTTATCTCATTTTCTCTTTTATCGAAATAAGTATGTGACATTTAGTCTTATTTTTCACACACAAAATTTTCGGAAAAAAATACCGATCACCGTAAAAAACTTTGGAATGTCGTAACCACCGGTACAAATTTTAATAAAATTAACGGCAATAGAAATTTATGCAAATATATCTCCTAATAATTATACATATATATATTAAAATAATCAAGATTCAATAAGATTTCAATGAAAAAATTGTCTTTTATAGAAAAAAACAACTCTACATAATGAGAATTATAATTTTTGAATATTTAAATAATGGGTAATTTTTTGATACATTAACTGATAATCCAACAAAATGAGAATTATTTACATTACTAAATTGAATAAGCTCGAGTTACATTATGTATACAATTTTTCTAATATTATAATATAGAGCGGAAATAAAGTATTAAAGAGCAAAATTAAATAAAAGAAATCCTCAATATCAACAGAATATATATCTTTTCTGAAAACGCAATGTAAAAATGATGAACAAATCAAAATGAATATTTGAATTTGTGCATCATTAACATAAATACATTTGTAGGAAAGGATTAAGATCCTTTTGGAACCGTTCTGATTTGCGTATGAACAATACTAATCCGTGGTATCACAGTAGGGCAGTATTTGTGTTCAAGTGTTCCTCTTGCGATCGTTGTGATCTGCGTATGAACAACACTTATCCGTGGTACCACAGCGGGGCATTATTTGTGTTCAAGTGTTCCTCTTGCGATCTTTGTGATCTGCGTATGAACAACACTTATCCGTGGTACCACAGCGGGGCATTATTTGAGTTCAACTGGGCTTTTATGCACAAGGCCGCCACACTAAAAACTAACATAAAAAATGATAGTCATCACGTTCCATTTTATGTGATGCATTTATCACATAAAATGGAAGAACATATATTGGAATAAGGAAGTATATTGGCAAGAGTCGATATATATTTAATGTATAAATATTTATTTAATCGAATATAGCTTTTCCATGCTTTGATTCTCATCAATTATGAGCATATAAGGTTTTACAAGTTATCATTCGTTGATTCTTAAAGATCTAATAATAAATAAATCAACAATAGGTTTCAAGAAATTTCCAAGTTCATTACAAGTCAGTATAGAATATATATAGTCAAATATCAGTGTGGCTTTTTTATTTAAAGTGGATCATAAAAAGCTTCTGACGTATCCTGATGATCAAAGCTTTTACGTGAATGCAACCCAAAAAGCTTTTCGTTAGCCGATCGCTTGCAATGTGCATTCCGAAAATTCGTTTTCAAAAATATGTACCGATTTAGTTCTCGTGCATATCTGCCAGCATTTAGTCTTGAAGAATTCAGTCTACTTGCTCATATATAGTATATATAAAAAAACTATAAACTGCTTAGAGTATGCATATGTGTGCTTAAGTAAAAATTAAATATATTAACTGAAACAGAGGCCTTGTGAAAAGTGTATAATTATTAATAAGCGTCCTTGATCTTGAAAATTTTAAAACTGAATGCAATTATATATATTTTTTTATTTCCTAATAAATATCGCATGCGTGTGGCTAAAAATAAAATTCTGATATTTAAATAATAAATAAAAAATAAAAAAATTAGAAAACAAAACAGGAAATGTTTTTGTTGACGATCCATTATGTCTGTTAAAGTCGCGTGAATGCATATATAAATGCGTTATTTATAATAAAAAAATTTAAATATATTTTCAAAGTCATCTGTTTTAATTTCTTTACTAATTGCAAATGCTAAGAAAAGATAAAATAATGTGCATTAATTTAGATAAAAATGAACAGGGTGGGTTTTAATTTTATTAAAACGAAATGGCGCCTTTTTGTCAATGCACATCCGCTAACCAGAGGGGCAATCACCTATGCCGTATTGTGGCCCTTCGGAAGTCTGGTACAACAAACCATTGAGGGCAGAAATTACAGTAAGTAATTCATTTCTTAACCAACTTCAATGGATATTTAAAAAAATAAACAACAACAATAATAAAAACTACACATCTCAGCAAATTATGACTGGAAACAATGCGTGCGATTTAGTATATTCGGTTCTCTGTGGGTAGCACCTACTTTATACGGTTGGGTGCGACTAAGTACTGCAATGTGGCCGCAGATGAGTCTACGCATAGCCCTCATGAAAGCAAGTATCCTACTAACTCATTTACCTACATTCATATTAAGTATTTCGCTTACATTTTTAGGCCATAACAGAACAATTCTCATACGGACCATTTGCTTGTGCTACTTTCTTCATGGGCATGAGCCTGTTAGAATTAAAAACTTTTGAAGGGGCAGTTGAAGAGACTAGGAAAAAGTTCTGGCCCACTTATTATGTATAGAAAACTATTTCCTAACAACAGCATTTGTTCTTCTAAGTAGTAATCTCTTTTGCAGGTGGGCGTATGCTTTTGGCCTATAATACAAACTATCAACTTCTCAGTGATACCCGAACACAACCGTCTTGTATTCGTAAGCATTTGTAGTGTTATGTGGACAATATTTCTAGCATATATGAATAGGAAGACAATGAATGCACCACATAGCGAGAGTTGATTATTCCATAAAGTCACCGAATCTGCTGATAATTTAGCTGGAAACAAAACAATTGCTTAGTACAAATTTGACGTTTCAGAATTTGAATATTTGTTGTGTTGTTATTTCTTAGTTAAGCTTAAATATATATGACATTATATATATATATACATATATTATTAAATGCATTTATTGTATTATAATGGTACAAATTAAAAATGTTATACTTTGTATGTAATAGTTCAATTAATTGTCTCATAAATCCATGATAAATAATTTTTAACACTTGTGAATACTCCTGGTTTCATGGCACAAGGTTTAAGACTCCATGAAACTATACCTATTTGTATATTGTGGTTATATAGTAAGGGTCCACCTGAATCACCGCTGCACTGTCCTTTCTTTTGACCAACATCAGCAGCACAAAGATTTGATTCCTGTAAGAATGCGTTTAATTCCCGACGACAATTTGCTAATGTTACCAACTCCAGTTCAACTTTTTGCAATATACTTTGCAATGTACCGAATGTCTGGAAATATGAAATATTGTATTATGTCATATGATAGCATATGACAATGCAAAATCACACACACCTCATTTAGACCCCAGCCGATTAACTCTACATTGGAAGCTTCCTCAACATTTTGATACATTGTTGGTAATATTACTGCTTTCACATATTCATTGAATTCCAGAATTGTTGATAACTCCAGTAATGCAATATCGTGTATAGCTAATGTAGGGCTGTAGCCTTCATGCACTAATATCTGGTTTACTATTGCGTATTTTTGGTTATGAGAATGCAACTGATGGCTACCATAATGAACTAACACATCCAATGGTTGCTTCACGAATGTAAAACAATGCGCTGCAGTTAAGATCCATTTTGGGCTTAATATGGTACCAGCACAAAAGTGAGAATCATCTCTAATTTTTCGAAGTGACACCTGGAAAAATAAAAAGAAATCGGTTTCTTACTTTAAATATTTTAATATGTTATTTAAATATAAAAATAATTATTCATATTATCAAGATAGTTGAAGAAAAATTGTTCTTTAAAGCAACTACAAGCTCATTGCTTAGATAAACTTATTCCGAAAAGTTAAATTCTTAATATTAAGTGTTAATTTATTAATAGTTTTTTTTAACAGAAAAATTAAATAGAAATCCATTAAAATGCTTCAGAAACCTTAGCAAAAAGATGAAGTGATAATATTAATAAGATAATACTATAAAAATTATTTAAGTAAGGATGAAACGAGAAATAAACTGTCCTTTATATAAAGTCAGACCTCAGTTATATATAGCAACCAAGTAAAACTAAAAATGAAATAACCAAAGGTCAGTAAGAAATTATAGCTCTAATTCGATATTTATTGTGGAACTCTGAATATTCTATATAATATAAAAATCAATACACTTGCATATTTTTTTGCAAAAGCACAACATTTTTTTTTGTTTTATTTGAATTAAGTAAAGATTGGATTTCTCTTCTTCACAACAATTAAATTGCCTATTATTAATTCTAAAGAATCATTCTCTTCATCGCTATCGTCAACATCATCTCCTCTCCTCTGCACAATATTTAGTATCCAGTCGACATAGGCTGAAACCTCAGTAAACACACCTGGATATGGCGCAATAGTGCACGGTTTACGGCTCCAGGATACGATGCCCACTTGTATTCCATTAATCAATAACGGTCCACCAGAATCTCCACTACATTGTCCTTTTCCACCATTAGGTACACCAGCACAGAGTGTAGTCGTATGCAGTTGTACTTCATGGCGACGACTGCACTCATCATCAGTAAATGTTTGTAGTTCCACTTTTTGCAATCTATTTTGTGTTACACCACCAGTCTAAAAACATAGACATCTTAATAAAGATACACCAAACTTGATATTTTTTACTTTACCGCATTAAGACCCCAGCCTATTAAAGTGGCACTTTTATTACCGGGCGTAATTTGTTTTATTTCCGGCAAACGGACACTGCTAACTTTCTTATTAAATTTTAACGGTTCCTTAAGTTTTAATAATGCTATATCGTTTATATAGTTATTGCTAGGTAGATAGCCCTCGTGCACATAAATTTTGGATACATTGCTTATTTTAGTGCTATTCTGATTTAGTTTTATATTTCCGTATTGTATATTGAGTTTTTCTGGTTTTGCACGGGCAACACAATGGGCTGCTGTTAGCACCCATTTTGGATTAAGTAATGTGGCACCACAAGAATGACGCACACCGCGTCGTAGAGAAACCTATTTTTTAATTTCATAATTATAAATCCAATGACAGAACCTCTTATAGTTTTTTAAAGTTAAAGCTCCAAAATTCCAACAGAAGCATTTATATTTATTTATGTTGTAGTACTAACTCTTACCATAAAAGGAAATTCACCATCCTTTGCATCAGTGCCATTAACTATCTTCCCATCACGTGCCAATACCTTCCCATGCTCACTAAAAACACCCAAAACGAACATGAAGAGTAAATAATTAACCGTAGCCATGTAAACTAGTGCAGTTTAATTTCAATTATGTTATAATGAATGAAACTTACTAACTCTTTTATAACTCGACTTACCATATACATATAACTGTGGGGTGCCTATCTGATAAGCCGTTCAGCATTCAATCAAATTTAACCTTACAAAAATTATATACCCAACACGCATTTGGAAACGATGGGGGTTCTAATTTACATGTATGAATTTTTTCCTTTAGCAACGAAAACCCCAACTCTGTGATAAAGTTCAAAATCAAGGTCTTTGTTTTGATAATATAGATATGAAGTTTAGCAAAACACAATTGAGTTATATCTTTTTTACAAGGCATTTACTGAGTTAGCTATTTCTTTATCAATATTAGTATTTATGCAAATATAAAAATTTTTCATCAAAAAATGTCTCAACTATTACAAAATATGAAAGTATTGTTGGGGAAATATCCCGTGGTGCGGGGTATGATATCTTACAGTCTTATATGGCCAACGAGTAGCGTAATACAACAGACTATCGAAGGGAAAAGATGGGGTAAAGTATAAACTACAATTAATTCTTTTATTTCATAAATATTGATATCTATTTTCACTAGGTGAATATGACTGGTGGAGAGTTTTGCGTTTCAGTTTATATGGTGGTCTATTTGTAGCACCTACTCTATATAGTTGGATTAAAGGTATGCAAATATTTTGACTATTATATATATTTCAAAATTTTATTAGTTTTTTTCTCTTGACAGTATCTAGTGCTATGTGGCCTGAATCTACTATAATGGCAGGAGTGTGTAAAGCTGCCGTTGAGCAAATATCCTATACCCCTGCTGCCATGACTTGCTTTTACTTCATTATGAGTCTGCTGGAAAGGAAAACTATACGAGATGCAGCAGCAGAAGTTAGTAAAAAGTTTTTACCAACTTTTAAAGTAAGTTTAGTGCTTTATTGGAACTATACATTCTGATAAAATAGAGATTCTGTAACAGATAACATGAAACCATTAACACATACATGAAGGTAACATAAAGTTATAATTAAAATAAATGTAATACCCATGTATTCTAGACCAATTATAGGGAATACTACAGCTAACGACGTTGCTCAATCACCCGTAGTGGTACTGCACTCTCTTATACTAATAAATCCAGGTCTTTAACGCCTACAATAGTGATATTGGACCAACATTTTATGAAAGAGACACACTAGAGTGGATGTCCGCTTTTTAAACATAACATTAGTCGTTAAGGTCAATTACTGCTTAGTCTGATGAAGTGATAAACAATAATCCAGTCAAGCCGTAGAGAGGGGTTATGAAGAAACCTCGCAGTTAATAGAGAGTAAAATGCGCAAGTGCACTGACTCAACTAGCCTCAACATTATAAATTAGTGGTTGAAGCCAGCTTTTAATCGATCGGTGTACCTACCAATCAGGTAGTGCCCCGTCATTTGAATCTTTAAAAATTGAAATATTTCAACTCAACTAAGTATTATTCAAACTTTAGATAAAGCAGCGGCACAATTCCACACAAAAAGCAAATAGCAGAGTTGTATTTTTTGTTTTACATAGCACAGTTGTATTTGTGAATTCAGTTTAGTAATGTAAACTTACTGTATGATACAAACATATGTTTCTCAATTGCTATTAAACAATATCAGTCAATAACACTCCTTATATTCTTTAACATTTATTATAATAAATATCATTTAAACACTATTATATATTTATTTCAGGTTGCGCTCTGTGTTTGGCCCATTGTTGCAACGATAAATTTTACTCTTATTCCCGAACGCAATCGAGTGCCGTTTATAAGTGTCTGTAGTTTAATCTGGACTTGTTTTCTGGCATATATGAAACATTTAGAACACCATCAGATAAATGGAAATGAATTTTAATTACACCATTTTGATTGTTCTGTGTATTTTTATAATAAATTAGTAATAATTTTATTGTTTTATATAGACTGTATTGTTATGCAAATGAATAAATTAAATATACTTTACTTACATATAAATATCATAAAAAATAATAATTATTTTTAAAGATACTGGTGGGCTTATGCTTGTCAAAGTGTTTAATTTGTTGTTAAAACTTTTTTACAAGCTAAAATGTCGAAACATTTTAAGCTAAAGGATAATAAGTATTTTGCTACCGATAGCTGAAGCATTGATAAATAGTTTATTTGACTATTCGGTAGAATATGCTATAAGCATACAAATACCTCGTATGACATCTTAAAACCAGGTTATAAATCTTTATTTATCGATATGGCGCTGTAGTCAGAGATCTCACAATAATACAAGTTTTGCAAAACGTTTGTTTGATATTGAATTATTGCTAATAAATACAACAAACTCTACTTTTCGATGTAGGACATCAAATGGGCACTTCTATTTTTAATAATAAACAAAGCGTAAATGAAATGTATAAAATCCTGCTTGTTTATTTTATACAAAAACCAATTCATATTCTATACACAATCTACATTATTCAATACACCAACCAATTGGATATGTTTAATTATCTTATTTACTACGTTAAATGCAAAATTTGAGCATAACCCTGCGTCTTAATTGTGATGCTTCTTGTATTATGATTCGAGTAGAATAACAATAGAAATACATTTGTTATACTTCATTTCGCAATAAATGCCATTAATTGTATTAAAAACTGTAATAAAACTAAACTATAGCCAGTGTACAGCTGTGCTCTCATTATCTAATACCACTCAAACTGTAATGTTGGTGCTGCTTAAACTCTACTTATAGCTCATATTAATAAATTCTGTTTTAATGCGCACCATTGTAACTTCGCCTTAATCTGGGTGGTGTTGTATATTTTGTGTTGGAGAAATTATTCTGTTTGTGTTAAGTGTGAAGTGTATTTATTATAAGTCTTAATATATAAGTTTTTTACATTTTAACATAATTTTTGTTAAGAACCATGGCAATAGCTGATATAGACAAGCCACGTTCCACGGATGCAACAGATAGCGTCGAAAAAGGGGATTATCCACGCGCTACAAGTGAGTGAATGACGAATAGAGAATGAAGAGTTTTGTTTTTATAATTGTTTATTTACATATTCATTGATTAAATTCAATCAATTCTATAGCTGGCGTGGTGGTGGGCTCCATTACTGCCTTTATTGGTTTCTTTTTCCTGATGATGTCTTTCTGCTCACCATATTGGATTGAGTCATATGAAGAGTCACGCAGCAATTTTAAGAACATGGGCATTTGGCAATATTGTTTTCACGATTATGTGTATCCAGGGTATCAATTTCCACGTAAATTTACTGGTTGCCATAATATATTCAGTCATGTAAGTGTAAATGTGAAAGTTAACATCCCTATTAACACATTATTTAAATTACAGGAATATTATGTGATTAGGGAGTGGTTATTGCCTGGTTGGCTTATGTCCGTGCAGGCTTTTGTCACAATGGCATTTATTTTGACCATTACCAGTCTTTCTATTTTGTCGCTGGTGATTATAAGATTACCACTGAAAGGTGTCTTGCAATACGAATGGATTTTGATTCGAGTTTCTTACCTATGCACTGTTGTCTCCTGTAAGTAAAATTGAGTCTTATTAATATATAATTGTTATAGTAGATTAGATTTAAGTCTGAGAAACATATTTATTATTGTAGTTTGTTGTGTTTAATTTCATTTTTGTTTTGCACATATATCAAAATTATTTAAAAATTTTATTTTTATATGCTTTATTTAAAATGAACTAATTTCATTATCAATTTTTTAGCGCTTTTCATGTTCTTTGCGGTTGCCATATTTGGTGGATGCGCATATCGTCGTGATTGGTTAATGTATCCCAAATTCAATGTGCTTGGCTGGTCCTATGCCTTAGCTGTGGTGACATTCTTTCTGCTTGGTATTGCTGCATTAATACTACATCGCGAAGCAAAGCAAGCTTATGACTTGCGTGGGGAACAGAAAAATTTAGTTATGCAAATGGAAATGCAAGAGCCCGGCTATCAAGTGCCACGACATCACCAGTCTCAATCACGTAGCTTACAAGGTTACATATAATTCCATTCCATTTACAAATATTTTACATAAACAATTTTATAATAAGTTTAGTTAAGTTAATGTTGACAATGTTAACAATGAATGTACGAATATGTGCAATAGAATTCGTTCAAGTGACTAAGGTACAATTAGTTAAATTTAAATAGTTTAAAACACTGTTAATATCCTTTACTTAAATTTTATACCTCAATATTATTTTTATATTTTATTTATATATATATATATATGTTTATATATGCATTTACTATTATATATAGTTCTAGAGCTTGTTTACTGTTTTTAGTATTATTTTTTTATTGAAGTTGCACATATTTAATTATTTAAAATTAAAGCACAACTTATAAGGCCTAATAGTAAGACTGGTACCGAACATATCAATTGTACAAATGTTTCACATTCCGACTATCATCAACTTAAAACAGTCATTACGGGGACCAAAAACGCCAAGGCTGCAGATGCCTAGACTGAGCTAGTTTTCCAGCTCAGCTGTTCAAAACTATAAGTTCGGAGTTGTGAAATGCGTTACTGGGAATCAGCGTAAACACAAAAATGATGTCGGCTTAGAGATTCTTAAGCAATAAAACTAATAATGCTCCACAAATCTTTTAGCATGTCTGTATGGTACAGAAGTTTAGATAATAAACTACAGTAATGTGAAGACATTAGAAACATTTGAGAGAAAAAAGCTAGAAACTGCAGAAAGCCGGGCTCTGAGAAGACTTTTCAAAGTACCATGGTACATGAGGACGAATGACATTCTCAGGGACCTCAAGATTGATCCCATCAAAAAATACATAAAGGATAGAGCCCTGAAATTATTTGCGAAAACTGACAGACTTGCCAACACCGCGTTATCAAATCTCAGAATGGTTATAGGCTCCTCGGGGAGATATGCAGATCTGAGGTCAATTACTGCTTAGTCTGATGAAGTGATAAACAATAGTCCAGTCAAGGCCTAAAGAGGGGTTTTGAAAATAACTCGAGTTAAGAAAGAGTAAAAGTCTCAAATGCAATGGCTCAAATAGCTTCAACATAATCTATGGTAAAATGCGTTAGTAACGGAAATTGAATTAGATGTAATGATAAGCTGCATATTCTATATCACACTATTCACATAATTGAACCTAATAAAATTCAGCATTTTCGCTGGTTTGGTCATGTGCTGCTAATGAAAAACACGATAATGGATGTACACATTCAAATGATCTCACTTCACTCGGATCCATCAACTGACAACAATAATCTGCTGATCGGGTTAGCCAGCGGAGGCTATTGATATACCGTCTGTAAAGGTCAACAAACTTATTAGGTCTTTGGATCGTCTTCCTTCTATCTTTACCTATTTGAATTAAATTAATAGCTTTTGGCGTTACTTAATTATATTTTTAAAACTAAAGGATTTTATTTAGTAACAAATGTTTGAAACATGTTTATTATGTTACCAACTCTTCCAAAAAAAAAACAGAATTTTTAATTAAAATGATGTGCATTTGAGTTGTAATTTTATCCAAGTGGTATAAAATGAGTTCTTACCCATTGATCACGAATGAATTCTATTGCATATATAAAAGCAAAATTTTTATTACTATGTATTTGACGAATCTCGATTATTTTATACATATATTGTTTTTCTATTCCGTCCATTATTTTGTAGTTTTTAGTAAACTATTAAGTGCCTTAAATAATAGTTAAATTTTCTTATAAAACTTAATTTGTAAACAATTAGGTAAACTGCCTAAGTATGTTAACTCGTTATCTATCCGTCCTTGATTGTATAGTAAATATTTGTTAAATTGTCAATTAAACGAAATACGAATAATTGTTATATATATTATATACATAGGCATGTATATTCTTCCAAATATTTAATTAACGAATCCGCAATCTGAGTTTTGTATGTTAATCTATGACAATACCTAACTGCGCTTAGCATACTTTAAAAATTACACAATCTTTTTACATTATCGAAATGAATTTTACACATATCTTTATCTTTATATATATACTTCTTACTACTTATGCTATAAATAATTTTTGTATTTTTTTTTTGTTTTTAATAAAAATAAATTAAAAACTCACCAAATTACAATGACAGTTTAATTATATCTTCCCGACAATAGCGTTGTTATTGCAATCATTAGTTGCCCATTATCAACAGTTTTATGGGCCAATATATTAGATATAATCATATATATAATCAATCAGATATAATTTTTGATAAGAAATTTGCAGCTCTTTTCGCCGACCCATTGAGATTGTTAAATCATAAAAGACTGAAAGTAAAAATCGGACACCATCGGGGTATTGTGTTGGATATATTATCTGCATTTAGAACTTATTTGTTGATAACGTTAATATTATTACCATAGCTTTTTTATTTTTTATTGAATAACATAGAACGTATTTTTATCTTCTTGCAATTAATGATAACCTAAACATGCTTTTCGTTAACATATATGAGTATATATCACTCCAGCGTTTATATGGGCTCTCTATCAGTTACCATTGAAATTTGATATTTAGTTTTCGACTGATATTGACTGGAGATTGTGCGAACATATTTTGACGGAAATTACGAAGAAAAACAAATACTTTTATTTCGTGATAAAATGAGATTTTATTATTTATTAGCTGCTCTTGTTGTGATTTCTCAAAGATGTAAGCGAATAATTAAAAACGTCTATTAAAAATGCTTTGCAGATAAAAGTCAGATAAAGGATGTGAACTTGTGGCAAAACATGATCGACAGATAAAATGATCTTTGTTTAAAAAATTATAATATTTTTATAGTTATTTTTTAAAACAATTTAAAATCTATTATTAAAATATATTTAAATCGTTAATTCCCAATAACTTTACAAAACCTTAAAAATTTAAATCAATTAGCTAATTAACAATATGAATGTGAATTTGTGATAAGATTTGTTGTGAAACTTGTTAACAAGTGTATGCAGTAGGCGTGATTCATTTATTCATTTATTTATGAGATGACAAAGTAAAATTTGTGTTTTCTAAATAAAATTATATGATTTTCCAGTGCTAAAATAGAAACAGGATATAAAAGAAATGATTATATAAATGAGTAGTCCACATTATAAAACCGTCTAATGGATCGACTCCTTCTAACAATCAATCAAAATGAGTTCCTCTTTAACTATTTCTGTATCTTGTTAATTAAGTAACTTTAAGTAATTCACACACGACTAATTAATAATCGCCAGTTTTTCTCCAAGTCGCTTCCAAAATTGGTACGCCCTTCTGCATCATAACATTTACTTGAAAAGGATTTCTGAGGTAGTTATCGCTATATTACTTCGTTCCTAACATTGAAGTCTATGTGCCGAGTCGACACAAACAAGAGGTACCCACAACAACAGTGTAAATTCATTAGAATTTAGACTAATCGGCCTGTTCGAGTGACCTTTGTATTCAGCTGCGGAGACTAGATACACTGAGGACTTTTAGATGCCCTTTACGTTTCTTTTTTAGCTGATTGATCGTATTGTAATTATATACGTCAATATAAGCCAGCTTCAAACTATCAAGGAAAAGTGTGCATTTTTTACTCTTGACTTCAATGACAAAGTTTTTGTTATTAATTCCAATAGAACCTATACTCGATCAACTTTACCAAGTTGTTAAATCACTTGGAACATATACTAAATATTAAAAATGCTGGCTTTCCTTAATTTGTTTTTAATTGGGTCTACATCATATGCAATAACAAAATGCAATCGGCAGCATTTGGTTTCTGATCTCTTCACGACAGCACCTGTCCTGGTATCCTCAACAGATTATCATATAACATCTCGGCAAGACTAGCATCGATATTAGTCTTTAGCGAAGTCCTTAATCCCAACAATAATATTCTATGTTAGTGCGACAACTATAGTAAATTTCAACATGGATTGAAAAGTTTTATAATTGTTCGCAGCGGAATGTAGCCTTGCGATCAAGGTTGGTTTTCTGTTCGAATGAAGGCCAGAAATGTCAGCTGATAAGTATAGCTTAACAAAAGAAGAAGATCAATCTTTTCCTAGTCCATATAAAAGCCACGAACAGCCACTAAAATTGTAAAGAGAGGTGTCATCCGCCTGCAGGCACAGTCGATATTCTGTTTCGTCATACAAAAACATCTGTTAAGAGTAGTTTTATATGGTAAACTCATTTGACTGATGGTTACGTGAGCGTTGCGCCAATAGCGATTTCTTTCGGTTACAACCACTTGTATATCAGAGATTTTATTGTAGACTAACTTATTCTACAGTAAGGTATTAGTCCATAGAAATGTATGGCTACTAATTAATGATTTAATGGTTAATGTTTTTAATGCAGACTTTAGGGATTTCGGATAGATATTTAAGGAAGTTCAAACCTATAAATGATCAGAGTAGATGAGCAACATTTAATTCTTTCTTTCTTTTTAGTTCACAATTTTTACAGTTGTTGTTGAAAGGAATTTCTATGTGGTCGATATACCCAACTATTAGAGAATATACTATTTTCTAATAAAGTAACTTTTTGGGGGCATTGAGAAGCTATTAAAACAAATGAGTTACTTAGCAGTTATGTATACAATATCTTATGTGTGATTTAGCATATCCGCTCTTTGTGCCACTACTAACTGTTATAAAATAGATGATAATGAGTATAGAAATCTTAAAGTCTGATCATAAAACAGCTCATCTATTTATAGATTACTTGCCATATATGTACATTTCATTTGTTAAAAACCCATTATAAGAAGAAATCTTTAAACTCTAAATTTTGCGGAAATATATAGTTTTTAAATGATTTTCTTAAGATCTTTGCGATATATACGTTGATGAATATGACGTATATATGAAATATATTTGTAAAATAACTATAAATATTAATTTAAAGGAACTGTGTCACCAAATAGGTATTCCCATATAAATAGATATAGTATTGCTTACTTCCAGATTATTTTAATTCAATCTCACTTATTAAGACAGCCAAATATTGAACACTTTTCCTTAATTATATACCAATTTATCTTACACATATCAATTTGTTAATTTTTTGTTTTATAGAAGCTTACGTAAAATTAGGAAATTCCATGATATGTCATGTCATATCGTTGTCAAATTGAGTTCAATAAATTAAATTAAAATCCATTCTTGATTGATAGAACCAATAAATACTTTAAAATTGTAAGTATTCTTTTAAAAAGAGATAAAGGAATTAAAAATTTATCTATTTCATTATCTCAATGATTTTATTTATATATTATATTATTATAAAACAAAGACTACTGCAGTCCAACAAGGGTAAATAAATTCAGTAACGATATTATAACTTTGTAAAAGACTATGGTTACTAATTCTCGAGGGTAAGAAGTGGTTACTGAAATAGTTAATAAATTTGCTGCCAAAGATGTGGATAGACAGTAAAAATGACACTAATTATACAGATAATTATTTGTCTTATATATAAGAATAAACGATTTTGGAGATATAGTAACAAATATTAAGTTCAATCGATTGAACTGTGCGGGCACATTGTATTGTAGAGCATAGGTAGGTAGATCTAGCCCGTAGTAAATGATGGTATAAGTTGAGACCTTCAACGTGTAGCAATGTCTAATTATTTAGATTGAAGCTTAGTATCTTAAAAAAATATTGTAAAAACATTTCAGTTGAATTTTTGTTTCACATACAGTTTTTAATTTATAAATTATTAAAATAGATTAATAATTTCATTAAAATTATAATTATGACTCAATATTCGTATCAGTTATAATCGATCTTGATAAGACAAGAGAGGCTGATTGTACATAAAATTCCTAAAAAGCATTTATGATATGCTTGAGTCATCTTTTAATAGTTGATCAATATAAAATTTTATTCTTTTAATTATTATTTAGAAAAAGTCAGGTTGTAGATAAGTTTGGCTGCCGACATGTAAGTAGATGGTCGCACTATTATTACAAGAGTAGTATACAGGTGCCTCTACTGCTTCAATATTAATAAATATTGCTCTCAATATATTATTAAATATTGACAACATTGAAATTTTTCATATCGGAATGAAAAATTTCCAATTTCTTCATATACATATTATTTATTGTATATAGTTGTGTTGTTGTTATTGTTGTTGTTGTATTAAAATTATCAGCTTTTTGTTTTGCTTCCAAATATTATCTGAGCTAATATCTACAAAGGTAAAAAAATTGAAATATTTTCAATCATTTTATAAATATCTTTGTTATGGAAGTGAGTCAGATATTTATTCCGCACCCGTACGTGTTTCTGATGTTAAATAGCAAATCAGTATTGATGAGTTCTTGAGATACTACGATGGTAGTACAAACAATTTTGCAATTCAGAAATAATAGATAGATTAGGAAAGTCATTAATATATATTCGGAGTTCATAAAAGTAACTTCGCAACGATATTACTTTATAGTTTAATTTTATACTGAATTATAAATAATCTTAATCAATCTTTCCAGGTCTCGCCGATGAAGAGAATGTCAGTCTAACTCCTCGTATTATAAATGGGAAACCTGCCACATATGCCGAAACTAAATTTCAAGTTTCGATTAGATTAAAAAGTTATGACTATCCATTTGGTAGTGGACACATATGTGGAGGATCGCTTATAGGACCAAATAAAGTACTGACTGCGGCGCACTGTCTCTATAAGTAAGTACTGCGCTCATACAACAAATGATCAAAATTTTTCAATTAACAAATTCTATATTCATATTAAGTTCCGAGAAAAAGAAATACCGCAAGGCTAATGAATTTGTAGTGGTCATGGGCACACTAAACCGTTTTCAAAAAGTGAATGGTACCATTGTCTCGGCTGTGAGTTCGATCTCATATATGAATACATTTAACATAGATACAATGCGAGATGATATCGGTGTTATGTTTCTAGTCACTGGTTTACCTGCAAATAAAACTCACCTGACAGTTGAACCAATTGCATTGAGCAACATAAGTGTAGCAGCAAACTGGAACTGTCAAGTTTCTGGATGGGGTAAAACTGAAAATGTGGGTATAAAAGGTTTTTATTAATGACAATACGTTATTATATTATATTGTTTATATTTTATTTTAGGATGTGCTACCCAGATCTCTACTCTTGACCAATGTCAGCACTTTTAGTAGAGAAACTTGTGTGTCAAGTTACGGTAACAACATAATCTCTGGTATGTTCTGTGCTGGTATAATGGCTGGTGGTACAGATTCTTGTCAAGGTGATTCGGGCGGACCATTGGTTTACAAAAATACTTTGATAGGTGTGGTCTCATGGGGAAATGGTTGTGCGTTAAGAAACTTTCCTGGTGTTTATGCAGATGTCAATTACTACAGAAAATGGATAAACGAAAGAAATTCTAGTGCTGCGATACGAAGTAGCTTACTCCTTCTCCTTTTATCTTTAGTAGCGAATCTAAAATACTTTAGATTTATTTAGTCAATTTAAAACTTTAATTAAATTTTTATTAATTTTTAAAAACAATTTCTTTAGTTTAACACAATTTTTTTTACACCTAACAACATTAAAAAACAACAATATTAGCTAATTTACATAAATACTTTAAAATTATTGTACCAAACAGCAACTGTAGAGTAGTTCCTATAGTGAGCAGTTTCAGTTTCAAAATCCTTAACATCATGTCCTTCAGCAGTTGCAGTTTTTTCTACATTGCTCTTCACTCTGTTCCATATTTCCATTGTGATAGCCTAACTTAAGTGTGTCATTGTGAAACCCAAAACTGGGCAAACAGCGAGAGTGTGTCATCAGACGTGAAAGTTCTGCATTCAATGTTGAATTCTCCATGCGTTCCATTACCCGACCCACCAGCAATTCTATTGCTTGACGAATATTCAAGCCGGTGCAAGCGCTCGTCTCAATATAGGGTAGATTATATCTGTCAGCCAAAGCGCAGACTTGCTGATGGCTGACAACTCGCGCTGATTCCAGATCGCATTTATTGCCACAAAGCACTACATCAGGATCTTCGGAGTAAGCATGCATACGCAATTGCTCAAGCCAATTTGCTATTTCCAGAAATGATTTTTCATTTGTCACATCGAAAATTAATAGAAATCCCATGGCATCACGATAAAAGGCTGTTGTTAAGGAACGAAAACGTTCCTGACCTGCAGTGTCCCAGAGCTGTAGATGAATACGGTGATTACGACCACGTGATGTATAAATCTTTAAAGGTAAAGAGTTTACATTATAATAAACCTTTAGAGGAACATTTTAAAAAGAAACTTTAACTGATTATATTGACACGAATTAGATTATATGCTTAAGTATTTCTTAGTAGGGACACTACCAACGTTAGTCATAGTATAAAATTGCTTTACTAAATAAAATAAACTCAAAAATTATAAGTTCCCCTTTGATATCCGTTACAAATAACCCAAAATGTAAAAATGATTACTCTATGATTCTAGTGTAGTGAAGTAGACCATACTAATATTGATATATTTTCTTCATAAATTTGATAAGATGAATCGATTTAGCCAAATTAATGTCTCTAACTCGTTACTTGATTTATCGAAGATCAGATCACTAAGGCCTTAAGTGATGACACGAAAGGTTTTAAGGTGGATATGCATGTTTTTGAAGCAGATATATCAAATGCGGATATGAATTTATCGGCAATAGATCTTGAATATTTATTGTACTAACAAAATTCGAATGAGACGAATGAATAAAACAAAGATAGATATAAGATTACCGTGTTTATCGACAAACAAACGGCAATAATAAGTAATCTAGTAAGAGAATATAAAGAAGAAATTGATTAACAAGCGGACATTACTCTTATATGGGGTTCCCGGTCACAGAAACATTGACGTAAATGAAAACACAAACAGTTATGTTGCTTTGGCGTTTCTGCGGATGTATCCCTGGAGGTACCGGTATATGTTTCGTTAGAAAGAGTTAAAAGTGACACATTTATCTGGTTTTGACAGTTAGCTAATAATATATGGAAGTTAGGACCCGGTCAAGGGAACCTATTAATAGGAACTGAAGTCATATTGTCAGATATAGGTTCATAAGAAGAGAAACTGGTGCTTGCGTAAAACACTTTTTGTAGCAGATGAGAAACGAAGAGCAGACGAAGTCGAAGACGAAGAGTAATAATTACATATTTTCTCTGTGACTTTTCAACTTTGGTTAAAATATCGAACAGATTTGTATGAAAGTTTTCTTCTTGACAGTCTGTCAGACTGCTCATCAATAAGAACAAGAGATTTGTTGAACTACATAAATGCAATTGAATGGAACTAGTTTATATGCAGAGGTTTCTTGAAAGAAATGTGGTACTAAAACGGTAAACAATTGTTAATTATTTGAGCCTTAAGGGTATCTGCTGATCAGCCAGTGCAATTAATAAACTATATTATGTAAATGTCATCAAATTAAAGTCTATTCCCTGCTGAGTTTTTAGCAAATAATTAAATAATTTATCAAAATATTTCTTTAAACTGAATATAAAAGAAATCACTCTTTCCAACCATTCTTAACTAAATCTGTAAATAATCTGCTTAAGTGTTTTATTATTAAATGCTTTAAGTAATGAAATGTCTTTATTGGTGTGATATAATTATGCTTACCAAACGCTTTTCTCGGAAATCGATACCCACTGTTGAGATAAATTGTGAATGAAATTGCCCATCTGTGTATTGATATAAGAAGCTTGTCTTTCCCACTCCAGAATCTCCGAGTGCCAGGAATTTCAATAAAAAGTCATAATCGATATTAGCTCCCATCGCCATGTTAACATTCAGCACGAATTTACAAAACAAAATTAAAAATAAAAAATACTAAAAAAAAATGTTTAAATAAGAAATAAATTTATTTATATTTTGCTGCGGATTTGCGGCTGTAAAAGGACGTTGACACAGGCACAGGCTCGGGCTCAGGCACAGATACAGGATAAAATGTATTGAGTCGACCGAAGTCAGCCAACGTATGCTGTGTAAAATAATAAAAAAGAAGTTTTTTTTTGTTTAAAAAGGGTCAGTAAAGATATTGTTTATACTAAATATATGCATTTACTATTTACTATTTACTCTTTACTGATACGCAAACATAAATGCTCATAAAATAAAATCTATGAATATTTACGTCGGGTACGTAGATATGATATGCATAAGAATCGATAAATAAAAGCCTATGAATATATATAACATATATATATATATTTGTAAAGAATCGCTATATGAATAGCAATACATATATATTGAGAATATGGTATGTCAGAGTATAAAAATTTGCATATCCTTTTCATTATTAATTAATAAGTGTTTATTACTTGCTTGGAATTAATCGAACCATGCCAATCGAGTCAACTGGAACAAAGTCAACTGCACAAAAGCTAAAACAAATTAAATTTTACTGATTTCTAAGCTAGAATTTATTATCATCTTTTGCCTTTCCTTAGGCGTACCCCTACAGACTTATATATACTCCTACTTCTTCCTTTTGCAATTTTGCCAAAACAATAAACACCAACGCTGAATCCTCATCCTCATTATAGAGCATTCCTTTACCGCTCCGGCGTTTATTTGCCTTTCTAATTAAAATCATAGAAATGCTTGAAATGATGAATATTAAAATTTCCCAATGCGGCTGCCGCTGCCACAGAGTTTTTGTGAAAATCCAAAATATTTGGTGAAGTACACGTGCTGCTACTTGAATGTGCCTACTTCGTACTTGGGATGCCGGAAATACTCGTATATTAATGTCAACGCTTCCGTTTCAATTTCCTAATATTGACTTCTGTCAACATTAACGCTTCTCCAAAGCAGCTAAGTCGGTTATTTTTATCTAAATTTTGTTAGAACTAAAGTTCTAAGATTTTTTTATCTTTCGATTTTTATTTTTCGATAGCAACGCCCTGTTCTGACAGTTGATTTCCATTAAAGCCATTTTATGTCTAGCAAACAAATGATAAGGCAGCATGTGGCACAGCAGGACTCGTCCTTTATTGTGCCATATTAGGTTGGTCCTGAGTGTCGAATGGCAACATGACAGCACGTCTGTCAGCAATTTTATTTATTTCTTTTCAATTTCGCAAAGAAGTTACTGACTTTTTCATGAGTAAAACCACAACTGTGCGCTTGAAAGTTGTGAAATTAGTCGAGCAGAATGATTTAATTAACAGCATAAGTTTGTAATTAAAAAAAAATCCAATAACATGTATTTAGACTTAATATATAGTACAAAAATCATTACTTAACTGTGTAAGAACGCATGATATATGGCTGTATATGTAGCGCATATCCTGCCGTTTAGCTCACATACAATGTTATCTTTTGTCAAATTTAAATTGCCTTAAGAGGCATCTATTCTCTGATATAGTTATCGCTTAAAGGCTTCTCATTCCTTAATGTGAAATATGTAAGCTGTCACAACATAAATTGTTTAAAAAATATTAAGAGGTGTCTATCCTCTGTCATTTGAAGCCTATCTCTGATATAGTTTTCACTTAAAGGCATGAGAATCCTTAATGTGAAATATGTGAGCTGTAAATTGTAAATTATGTAAATTGTTTAAAAAATATGAATTAATTGTTAAAAAAAATATTTTTGAGATTTTCGCAATCAATATTTTGTCAGCGGTGAACGCAAAGTGTACCTATTAACCTATTAATAAATTATTTGTATATTATAAAATGTACAACTAGGTCTTTGATTGAAAAATGGTTTTCAGCCGAGAGAAGTCGCTACTGGCGCGACAGTCGAGTTAACCGTCAGGCCAAAGAGCTGGTTCACCCCTACAGTTATGGTAAGGTATCCTTCTACAGCAAAACAGAATTGAGGTTGCTGGTGGGATATTTAACGAGTCACCATGGACTGCATTATCACCGCAACAAAATGGGTCTGTCCGAAAAGATAGAGTGACGAGACTTGACGGGACGGAGGTCACTGGGACAAAAACTACTCTCCCTTTTTGACATTCGGAAGGCAGAATGTCTTCTGTTCGGTTGGGGTCTGTTGTAGCATAAAAGATCAATCATGGTCGCAGTGCTCCGTTTCGTTGGGAGCTAGTACCCCTTTTATTCCTATGCTAAATACACAAATATTAACATAACATATTAAACATTTGTGTTACTTAATTTATTAATGTTAATTTTACTTAATTTATTAAACATTAATAATACTAAACATTAATAGTAAAAACAAATCGTAAACCCAAACGTCAAATATTATTAAAACATTATTATTATTAATACAGGAAAACCTAAGAAACATCTATTTTTAAAGTCCAAAAAAGGACAATTTTCGCAAAAATATATAAGTAAAATAAGGTATATTTTTAGAAGTAGCGAAATCAATTTTTCTCAAAATTAAATCGAAATAAAATGCTAACAGCGTTGCAAATGACAAAATGTGTGCTTTAAAAGATATTTTTTGAGTCTCGAATACGTGAAAGTTATGACATCGAAATCCTTTCACTTGAAACTACACGAAACTTCAATGCAAATACTTTGTAGTTAAGTTGGAAATTCTTCAAATTTAATTCACATTCCAAAAGATTTGCATGGAAAACTCTACTCGTATGTAGCAGACATACAAGTAGGAGTTTAAAGGCACATAAAAGGATTGTCATGTTTCGTATGGAATCCTGCTAGCAAAACAGTAAATCACACAAATCCAAATACAGCCAATACAGGAAGTGCAGGAAGTACAGGAAATACACATTGTGAACGCAGTAGCGCACGGCATAAGCATAAGAGGATTATGGGCTTAGCAGTGACATGACAACGTTCCGAAAACTTTTATTAGCTGCTCTCAATTTTCTGTATATTTTCAGTCCTTATTTTGTTGTTGTTGTTGCTGTTGTAGTGATTTTCTATTAGCAACCACAATGTCGTCAATAATTCTTAGGAAATATTGTGGTATCTGTTGCGGTAAGCATGGAATAGCATTAGCCAATTTACAGTGTTTTTATGGTAACGAAGGTGGTAAGTAAAATGAACGCAAAATGCATGACTTGATACCCGATGGAGTTAGAGTGATTAATCAGTGAATTTTTTATTGAAAAAATGAAAACATATCCTTTCTAGGTCAGCAGGTGCGTAAAAGGTAGCTTTGTCAAAAAGATAGTCTTAGCAAAATTTTTGCAAAGGTACCAAAGACTAAGTAGCTTATTTTTTTGATACAAAAAAAGATTATAAGTATATTTTTTAAATCACATAAAATATAGTATGTTTAAGAGTTATTAAGGACGTTATTGAAGTGATCAATTGGGCAGTTTCTGTAAAGACTATGTATTTTAATATATATAGATTTGCATGCTAAAATCACTTTTCCAAGTTTAAGCTTCTAAAATAAGAAATCTTTTAGAGCAGTCCTTTCGAGGTCCTCTCCTTAGATTCCATAGAAGTTATTTGAAATTCGAGTCAATTGGGTGGTGTACGATTTGCTATAAATAATATATATGATACATACTTTACTAATAACAAAAAACGTTTATTCACTAATAATAAATGGTGGCAGATATTTGCTAGCTTGATCTTCTCTCTACTATTCACTATTACGAGGTTTTGTGGATTCAAAACGGCTTTTTTAGCAAATTGAAGAGGACTTGTTTCTTCCTCCACCTCAACTAACTACTAACTAACTCAAGAATTATTAGATGCATTATACAATCTGAAACGTAATGAAAAATAAACAATTTGAATGTACACATCAGAATGTGTTAAGAACATTCTCTACAAGAGTGCCTCACGGGTACTAAATTGTACCAGCTTTTCTATATTAAATATGCTCTTTACGAATCACTCATACGCTACGTTGAACCACTGAGCCAACGAGCAAAGGCAAAATCACAATTCGCTTTAAGCATACATATTCCATACTCTCCAAACCTGTACTTTGCACAATTTATTTATGTTTTTATTAAATCTTTAATATTAAATTAAAACAGAAAATATTATATTAGAGTGGGAGCCACACAACCACAACAATAAAAAGGCAATTATTTCGCACGCGCTGTCAGCAACACAAACACAATGGGATGACATAAAATGGTACATTCCTTGGAAACAGATAAAAAAGTAGGTTGGGAGTAAGTTTCACAATAAACAATAAACAATAAGCAAATAATAAATAAACTGTACAAATAAGTCCAAGACGATGCAACAAGTAAATGTTTCCTTAAGTGCTGGCTGCCACTAAAGGTCGAAGAAGTGGCGAAGTGGCAGCAACAAGGATTCTTGAGCTTACGGGCAACTTCGGTTCAAGTTTAAGATTCTGTGTTGATATTAACAGAAAGAATTAAGTGGAAAAGCGTTGTGTGCCTTGAGTTCCAACTGCAGCATGAACATTCTCCAAATGCCTCTACCTGCCGGTATCACAGGCATTTTAAAAATGATGCTTTTGACAGCGACTAATAGGATAGCCGTCCGCCAGAAACAGATAAACAAAGAAATTTACCTTTTTAAATGAAAAAATAGAGAGATAGCATTGTTGATTTAATAAAACAAAAGATTTTTATTTATAAGTATGTACAGTGTCTACTGTTGGTCACTTCAAAGCGCTTTACCATTTCTATGGCGAACCCAGCAAAGGCATGTGGGAGGAATGTGGGATAATTGTGAGCATTTCAGAACTTTTGTCATGCGATTTGTGTTTCATGTTGATTTTATTGTTGTGATAATTTCCGCACAAGGATTGAATGATATGATAAGTTTGATTTGGTTAAGCAAATGAAATTGGTAGAGTTATACGTCATATCATACGAAAATCCTATTTAAAAGGAAAAGGATTTTCTATTCCGATTTATTTTCTTACTCATATTTGTGTTCGTTGATTGCTGCAGGGGATGTACTATATATTGAATGAATTCTTTGAATACAGAAAAAAAAAATCACAAACAAATTAAAGTCCTTGGTAACGGACGAATTTATTAGATTTAATTAAATTTATATCATTTTTCAGCGCCTATTGCAACGCTACCACGTTGAG